CCATGCGGGGGGAGGGGGTGGGACCCCGTGATCACCACGTGTGGGGGGAGGGGGACCCCGTGATCAGCATGTGGGGGGGGAGGGTGCGGGACCCTGTGATCACCATGTGGGGGGAGGGGGCGGGACCCCGTGGTCACCACGTGTGGGGTGAGGGGGACCCCGTGATCACCATGTGGGGGGGGAGGGGGCGGGACCCTGTGATCACCATGTGGGGGGAGGGGGTGGGACCCCGTGATCACCACGTGTGGGGTGGGGCCACTGGCATAGGTAGGCTGGGGTGCAGGTGGGGCAAGAGGCCCTGGATGAGGAGTCCTGTTGCAGCCTCTGTCCTTTGCCCAACAGCACACTTTCTGTAGAAGATGCGCCCTCAAGTCAGGTAGGCGCCTCAAGAGAGTTTGGGCTGGGCCCATCATCAGCTGGGGCGGGGCCCTTCAGGAACTTCCCGGCCAGGCCCATACCTGTGTGCCCATGGCTGCCAGGCAGTCGCTGGCGGCTTCTCACGCACACACAAGCATCCAGGCGTGCTGGGGCCGGAGCTCGGGGCCTTTGTGAGCTCCCAGGGGCCCTCCAGGCTCAGGGCCTTCCCGTGGTGGATGCAGGATGGGGCATCCTGGGGTCAGCTCCTGCCGGCTCAGGCCTGGTGATGGCTGCCCTGTGGTGGGCTTCATGCTCGGGCCCCAACCCTCGCCCAGCCCCAGACGGTCCCGGGGAGAGTGGAGAGATCCCTGTACCACCTGCTCACCCCATGCTTGTTCTTGGGCTTGACGTGCCCCCACGCTTGGGTGCTGGGGCCTTGGGAGGCGCCTGATGAAGAGGTTCACGCCCATCCAGACGGGGGAGCGCATTTCGGGCCTGACCAACCCCGACCCCAGAAGGAGTCCGTTTCCCGCCAGTCCCAGCCTGGGCACAGTGTCGGGGCGGGTGCGGCCAGATGGCCGTGGGTCAGCGCGTCCTCCCCACCGCAGAGAAGTGCCCCGTGGACAGCGCCAAGCTGACGGTGGTGGTGAACAACATCGCCGTGGCCGAGCAGGTCGGGGAGCTCTTCATCCACTGTAGGCATGGCTGCCGGGTGGCGGGCAGCGGGAAGCCTAGTGCCTTCGAGGTGGACCCCCGCGGCTGCCCCTTCACCATCAAGCTCAGTGCCCGGAAGTGAGTGTGTCCCCCAGGGCGGCTGGCGGCCCCGGCCCGCTCTCCTGGGGGCTCACTCCCCGCCGTGGCCCCTGCCCGCAGGGACCACGAGGGCAACTGTGAGTACCGGCCTGTGCGGTGCCCCAACAACCCCAACTGCCCGCCTCTCCTCAGGATGGACCTGGGGGCCCACCTCAAGGAGTGTGAGCACATCAAGTGTCCCCACTCCAAGTACGGGTGAGTGGGGGGGGGGGCGCGGGGGGCGGCCGGCACTCAGGGTCACGTCTTCAGTGAGTCTTGGTCGAGAGCCGACTGAGCCGGGCGCTGGGGAGACAGCCAGGGTCCCCCGGGACACAGACCTTAGCCGGGAGCCACAGCGATGACTGTGTAAATTACAAACCCAGGTACGGGTGACACCAAGGAGCGACTCAGAGGGGACTGGGCTGATGGGGGGAGCGGGGTGGTTAGGGGAGCTGTGCGCAGAGAACTAAGGCTCTCGGGGGAGGGAACCGGGCAAAGGCCCTGTGGTCAGAGGAGGCGGCTGGAGTGGAGAATGGAGGGGACTGGGGCTTTCCAGGGCCCAGAGGCTGTGAGGGGAGTGGTTTTCATTCTGAGAATGAGAGGGGCCCCACCGGAGGCCCAGGCAGAGGCAGAGCGCTGGATTTCACCTGCAAAGTGGCCTGGGGGCTTCCGGGAGCCAGCAGGCAGGATGGGCGGGCATGGCTGCACGGAGGGCGGCATCCCATTTAGAGACGAAGGGGGCTGGGCTAGGGGGCAGTGACAGATGTGGGAGGGCTTGAGAGAGACGCGGTGTCGGGAGGCCAGTGGGTGGTGGGTCGGGGCAGGTGGGCAGGGCAGCGGTCTCGTGCCCCAGGTGCACGTTCATCGGGAACCAGGACACGTACGAGACGCACCTGGAGACGTGCCGTTTCGAGGGCCTGAAGGAGTTCCTGCAGCAGACAGACGACCGCTTCCACGAGATGCAAGTGGCTCTGGCCCAGAAGGACCAGGAGATCGCCTTTCTGCGCTCCATGCTGGGCAAGCTCTCCGAGAAGATTGATCAGCTAGAGAAGAGCCTGGAGCTCAAGTTCGGTGAGGCCTGGCCCCGGGGCAGGGGCTTGGGGGTGACCCCTGCTTTTGGCCCCGGTGACCCCAGCCCCTTCCTGCCACCCAGATGTCCTGGACGAGAACCAGAGCAAGCTCAGCGAGGACCTCATGGAGTTCCGGCGTGACGCCTCCATGCTGAACGTGAGCTGCCATGCGGCCCACCGCTCAGGGTCGGGGCGTGGGGCTGCCCTGGAGGCTGCGACAGTCCCGCCCACCTGCGCCACTCTCGGTCTTGCAGGACGAGCTGTCCCACATCAACGCACGGCTGAACATGGGCATCCTGGGATGTGAGTTTGTGGCCCCTGCCGCCCCCTCCCACACCCCCACCTCCATGGCTCCTCACCCCGCCCCCCTGCCCCCACGCCTCCTCACCTCACCCTTCTCTTTGCAGCCTACGACCCTCAGCAGATCTTCAAGTGCAAGGGGACCTTTGTGGGGCACCAGGGTCCCGTCTGGTGTCTCTGCGTCTACTCCACGGGTGACTTGCTTTTCAGCGGCTCCTCGGACAAGACCATCAAGGTGGGTGGGGCGGCCCGAGGGGTGGGCCAGCCTACCAGCCTCCGCCAGCACCCCCAAATGTCCCGCTCCCTCCTTCCTGCTGTGTGCCCCTGACGTGGCTGACCACTGGGCACCTGACCCTGGTCTCTGCAGGTGTGGGACACGTGTACCACCTACAAGTGCCAGAAGACGCTGGAGGGCCACGATGGCATTGTGCTGGCGCTCTGCATCCAGGGGTGAGCAGAGCACGGTCCCTCACCATGGGGCGTGTGGAGCCAGGGCAGGAGCCCGTGGGCGGGACCCATGCTTGTATGGCTGGTCCTGCTGTGGGTCCCTGCTCAGCGCTGGGCCTGGGGGTTGCAGGTGGGGCCCACTTCTGTATCTGTGCCCCATCTCCCAGAGCTGTGTCACTTGCGGAGCCTGGTGTCTTAGTCGTTTAGTGCTGCCGTGACAGGAGCCGCATGAGTGGGCGGCTGTAACAAAGACAAGTGTATTCTCTCTCAGTCTAGAAGGCTACAAGTCCAAATTTAGGGTGTCAGCTCCAGGGGAAGGCTTCCTCTCTCTGTTGGCTCCAGAAGACGGTCCTTGTCATCAATATTCCCCTGGTCAAGGAGCTTCTCCACGCAGGGACCCCGGGTCCGAAGGACGCACTCTGCTCCTGGCACTGCTTTCTTGGCGGGATGAGGTCCCCGATTCTCTGCTTGCTTCCCTTTCCTTTTATCGTTTGTAAGAGAAAAGGTGGTGAAGGCCACACTCCAGGGAAACTCCGTTTTCATTGGATCAGGGATGTGACCTTAGTAAGGGTGTTACAATTCCACCTCCTAATTCTCTTAAACATAAAATTACAATCACAAAATGGAGTACAACCACACAATTCTGGGAATCTTGGCCTAACCAAGTTGACACCTATTATGCGGGGACACAGTTCAATCCATGACACCCAGCAAAGCCCTGGAGCCCTCCCGCAGCCGGCACAGAGGTGGGGCCTTGGGATGTCAGTGAGCATGTAGGCGGGAGCTTAGCTGCCACCAGCCTGTAGCCGGAACCCTGGGCACAGCTCTGGGGACCAGGACCCCAGAGGAGCCACCTCCCTGCCCAAGGGGACCCCCTCCTGTGCTGCTTTCCTGTTTCATGTCGTGAGGCTTTGTATATGTGGACACAGGCATGAGCATGTGCATGGGAGTACGTGTATGTGTGAGCGTGCGTGAGTATGAACGTGTGTGTGTGAGTGTGAGAGCTTGTATGTGCATTGTGTGTGTGTGCGAGAGCATGTGAGAGCATTGAGTGGGCGGGAGTGCGAGCACGTATATGAGCATGTATATGAGCATGGGTGTGTGTGAACGTGTGAGCATGGGTGATGGCATGTGAGTGTGACGATATGTGTGCAGGAGCATAAGCATGTGAGTATGTGAGAGCATGAGTGTGAGACCATGTGAGTGTGTGAGCAAGTATGTGTGAGGGCGCGTGAGCCTGTGTGTGTATTAGCAGAGCTGTGAGAACGTGTGAGCATGTGAGTATGTGCTGAGAGCACGTGAGTGTGGGCGTGTGAGTGTGGGAGACCATGTGAGTGTGAGCATACGAGTGAGCAGGATGCCCGCCGACAGGTGGCAGCAGCCCGCCTGCCAGCACAGCCCGGTGGATTTATTCAGCACTAACAGGCTGGTAATGACCTCGCAGCTCAGCTGTCAGATGCTTTCCAGGCAGGCACCAGAGGCCTGGCCGCCACTTCCAAGGTTCTAGCACTGAGGCCGGAAAACGGAGGCTTAGGGAAGCAGCGGTGGCCTTGGCCTGAGCTGCCAGTGCCTGGTGGCCTTGGCCAGGGCGGCGTCAGCGGGGAAGGCAGCCCTGACCCGGCGGGTTTGCTTCCCCAGGTGCAGGCTGTACAGCGGCTCTGCGGACTGCACCATCATCGTGAGTGGGCGGGTGGGCGGGCGGGCGGGCAGGCACGCCACTCTCACTGCTCGAGGCCTGGCTCAGGCCAGCGGTGCCCTGAGGCTCCTGCGCTGCCCCCAGGTGTGGGACATCCAGAACCTGCAGAAGGTGAACACCATCCGGGCCCACGACAACCCAGTGTGCACGCTGGTCTCCTCACACAACATGCTCTTCAGTGGCTCCCTGAAGGCCATCAAGGTGCGGGGCGGGGGGGGGCCTGCACGTGCGGGTCCTGGGGCGCCGGGACACCTGCCCCGCGCTCACCACCGCTCCTGCAGGTCTGGGACATCGTGGGTACCGAGCTGAAGTTGAAGAAGGAGCTCACGGGCCTGAACCACTGGGTGCGGGCCCTGGTGGCCGCCCAGAGCTACCTGTACAGCGGCTCCTATCAGACAATCAAGGTGCGCCGCCCTTGCTGGCAGGGCCTTGCACTCTGCCCGCACTTCCCAGGTAGCTCATGGGGGCTCCTACTTGTGCCCCACCCCTAGCAGACAGGATAGACAGACAGCCACGTGGGTGGCTGGAGTGTCAGAGCCCTGCAGACCCTGGGGGGTGCCTGGCCCAGCAGCCCATGCTCGCCCACAGATCTGGGACATCCGCACGCTGGACTGCATCCACGTGCTGCAGACGTCAGGTGGCAGCGTCTACTCAATCGCCGTGACGAGCCATCACATTGTCTGTGGCACCTATGAGAACCTCATCCACGTAAGGCCAGGGGCAGGGTCTGGCCTCGGGCCCCACTCTGCCCTGTCAAGTGTCCCTTACCTGCCTGGGCCCACCCGTTCCTAGGTGTGGGACATCGAATCCAAGGAGCAGGTGCGGACCCTGACGGGCCACGTGGGCACCGTGTACGCCCTGGCGGTCATCTCGACACCAGACCAGACCAAAGTCTTCAGTGCATCCTATGACCGGTCCCTCAGGGTGCGTGCCAGCCTGGGGCGACAGCAGGCCCGGGCACAGGGTGGGCACTCGGTGCCCACGTAGCCTCACATCTCACGTGCCCCCAGGTCTGGAGCATGGACAACATGATCTGCACGCAGACCTTGCTGCGGCACCAGGGCAGCGTGACTGCGCTGGCCGTGTCCCGGGGCCGGCTCTTCTCAGGTGCCGTGGACAGCACCGTGAAGGTGAGTGCCCCGCGGGGTCCCACGGAGTGGAGCAGCCCAGGGCAGGCAGCAGAGAAGGGCGGCGTGGGCCGCAGGCGCACCTGACACAGCCCTGTCTTTGTAGGTGTGGACCTGCTAATGGAGAGCCTCCTCTGGGCCTGTCTGAGCCAGCTGGCTGCCTGGGGGGCCGGGGGGGCGGGGGGGGGCAGGCTGGCAGTACCCTCCCGGCCCATGCTTGGTGGCGTCTGCGCCGCTGCCAGGAGAATGCCCAGCACTCTCCCCTGGGCGCCAGGTACGACACTCGGCCGGCCCAGCCTGCTCCTTCCCCGTGACGGACTGCAGGCCTTTTTACTCACATTTTCTACTGTTTTTAGACTGTACATACATTTGATTACTTCCAGACAGAAATAAACGCTGCGCAGACTGTGGCTAGGAGTGGGAGCGAGTCCTTGGGGCAGGGGGCTGCGTGCGAAGACTCGGAGATGCCGCCCGAGGATGTCCGTGGGCAGCCACCGGAGGGGAGGGGCACAAAGGGGCTCCTTTTTGACATCTCAAGGGGAGTTAGGGGTTCACTTCTGACACTTTGGGGGGGCACAAAAGAGTTCCTTACGGACCGCAGGACAAGGCCCACCACCCACCTTGGGGCCAGGGTTCCAGCCTCTGCCCTCACTGCCTCCATCACTTCCCCCCCAAAAAGTGGACCAGGCAGCTCCATTTTCTGCTGTTTATTGATCGCCGACAGCAGCCCCCTGCCCGGGCCCCTCCCCGCCTGCTAGAGACCAGCCTGAGGGGAGGCCAGGTTGGCAGCCAGGGCACCCACTCCCGAGGATCGCCACGGGGAGACAGCTGGAAGGAGCTTTCCCCCGGGACAGCACCTCAGCCGGCCCCTCCACCCGGCCCGCCTCACCATCCCTGGCTGGCTTTCAGCGTTTTCCGATTTTTTTTTTTTTTTTAAGAAACGTCAAAGTTGTTCCCAACACATCTGGACCAGCAAACACAATAGAGACCAGTCAGTACTTTTTTGAGGGGGAAGAGAGAGTAGCGGGGTTGGAGAGGAACAAGGGGCGAGAACACCACACGACACAGCCTCGGACCGCGAGCAGAAGCGGCCGTCGGAACTCGAGTGGGGGCTGGGCTGGCTGCTTGTGCAGGGCCAGCGCGGGGTCCTGGGGGGTAGGCACGCACGTGCATGCGCCACACGCAGTCGCGTGCACGCCTCCGCTCCCACACGGCGGTCACTCGCCCACTCATGCCCACGCACACCCTCAACCACACCCCCAGGACTCAGCCACGCCCACGAGGAGGAGGGAGCCCCGCCCCCGTCTCCCACAGGCCTGGAAGAGGACACAGCCCATCAGCGAGCAAGGCACATCCTTCGAGTTCTTCCGACGCAAAGAAGTGAAGGGTGGGGGGCAGAGAGGCCCTGGCAGAGCACCGACCCCCTCCCTGTCCCCAGCCCCGTTTGTGCTACTGGGCCAGGGGCCTGGCCCCTCCTGGACCGAGGGAGGGAAGGACGGACAGACGGCCTGGGTCTCTAACAGCTTTTGTCTCGAGCTGGACTCCAGTGTCCTTTCAGTCGGTAAACGGTTTTCTATAGAATCAATAATAGTTTCTTCTTTCTTTAAATATATATTTGTTAAAGTTATACCTTTTTGTTTCTCTGGGGAAATCTGCCTCAGCTCATTCCCAATAAATTAATACTCTCCATAGCTTATATTCTGGGGAGGGGGGTGCAGTGGGGTGGGGGCCCCACGAGCCCCAGCCTCGGTCCCCTGCCCCTTGTGCTGAGCTGGAGCGGTTGGCCGAGGCCCCGATCGGCAGTTCTGTGCTGGGCGGAGGCCTGTGCTCTGCCGCGGAGTGGGAGGGGGCTCCAGCGGCGCCCCTTCCCCTCCTCCCGGAGCAGGCCCGGCGGCGCAGCAAGTATTGCACGGGGAGCAGCAGGCGGGCCGGGCCCCGCCGGCCGGGCCGAGCCCTAGGAGCCCCGGCCAGGCGCCCCAGGCAGAGGGCAGGAGTTGTGCTTGTGCGGGGGCTGCAGAGTCCCGCCCCCGCCTCGGCCCGCAGCCGCCCGGTCCAGGTGCCCGTCCTGAGGTAAAGGTCAGTGTGCGGGGCCAGAGTCTGGGCGGCACGGGCGGGCCCCACATGCCGGCGGCCCGTCACTCCAGCATGGCGTCCAGCTGGTCGGCCAGGTCGTCGAACATGCTGCCGATGTCGTCCAGGATGCTGCCGGTGCTCTTCTCCGCGGCCGAGGGGCTGGGGGCGGTGGGACCGGCGTGAGCGGGCGGGGCCGGTGGTGGGCCGCGTCCTTGCCCAGGCAGTCTCAGCCAGGTCCGGGAGTGGGGCGGGGCGGGGCGGGGCAGGGGGGAGATCACGCCTATAGGCCCCGCCCCTCGTGCACAGACACGCCAACGGTAGGCTCCGCCCACCATTGACCCCAGAGTGTAAGCCTACCGCGCCCGAGGGCAGACCACGACCCTCTCGTGAAGGACCCCGCCCCTGGCCCGGTTTCCTTCCATGGACCGCCCTAGACCACGCCCCTTTGTGCCGGTCACGCCTCACTCGCGGCAGGCCACGCCCCGGCCCTCTCAACGCCAACCCTGGCGCGTGATCAGGGCGGGAACCGGACAAGACCACGCCCCCGAGGCCTCGTCCCGCCGGGCCCCGCCCCCTAGGGCACAGCCACGGCTTACCAAGCTCGGTCCCGGTCAGACCGCGCCCATGGTCTGCCCTAGGCCCCACCCCCTGCACCAGATACCGCCCCTGGCCCGCTTACAGCCAACTCCGGCAGTGAAGGGGCGGGCCGGGATCAGACCCCGCCTACGGCCCCGCCCCCGCCCCCCCGTGCCTACCGGGGGCCCTGGCCGTCCTCCTGCCGGATCTTCTCCTCCACCGCTTGCAGCGCGGCCGCCAGGCAGGCGCTAGTCTCCTCCAGCTTCTGCCGGGCGCTGTCCCCGGGCGAAGCGCCGTCGGGCGCGGCAGGGGCCC